CCTATATAGTTCATTCTAGAGATTTTTATAAAATTTTAGTTTTTGTAGCCATTGAAGAATCCATCTGTTTTTAGTTTATTTTAAAATTTGTATTTATCAACATAAACTAAGCATATATTTAGCATTCAATTGACTTACTGCATTGACCAAATTCTTATACATCTGATATAAATTACAAATTGGCTTATCTTTAACCTATTCCTAATTACTTTATTAATTATCTCTAGTTTGTATTGATAACAAATAATGAATTGCATGAAATAAATAAGCTGTTTATACTTAATAGAGTTAGTAGTATATTTGTAAGCTGTATGTATGTGTGATGAGTTTGAAGATTTAACGTTGTCTGACTTAAATGTTTCAGTAAACTGTGGTTTGTTCTTGGGCTAAATGGCACTTCACATTATAAACAATCTATGTAGTCCTCTAACCTGGGTTTTATTATGTATCATGGAAAACATTTAAGTAGTTGAAATTTCCTTTTATACTACCTGGATTTTCTTTCTTTAAAGGAAAGAAAAACTTATTTATCTGTTCTTTTTTTTTTTTATGAAGTAGTGTAGGTTGCAGTATCATGCATTTTTTTTTTTACATCACCAGGTTTGTGTCACCTCCTAACTAAACTAATTGGAGCATGATATGCCCACATGATGCATGTGATTCCCTCTACACTTCTTGTTTGGCAGCAATTGAGTACTGAAATGCTCTTCTATGTGCTTAATGCTTCCCTCGTGAAATGGTAATGTTTTTATTTAATTTGCATTCCTTCAACCCAATTTCTGTATTAGTATTTATCAGTTAATTCTAGTCACATTATCTCTGCACTCAAATTTGGTGAACCTTTTCTATGCAATGAATTCCAAAGTTAACGTTACCACTTCGGGGGTTACACCAGCGACCAGTGTTTTTCTCAGGCCTCAAATGCGGGTGACCTGATGGTGGATTTATCTGCTTTTATATGTCGAGTGTATTACATGGGCCAAACTTTCTCCTCAGACATTGCCCAGACACTTCCTGAGCCAGCTGAGCCTGTGCAAGCTGACAAGGACCTTGATCATCTTTTTCTGCCTCCAGAGTTTGCTGTTCCTTCCCATTCCCAATCTGAGGAATCTCTTAGGTCTAATTCATTTTTTCTGGATTTGTATCTCAGGTTTGTGATGTTTTATCCCTTTCACCTATTTCTTATTCACCTCATCCTTCCTTATCAAATGTCAGTCATACCTATGCTCAATATTCTTGCCTTACCAACCTCTTATGGTATCTTTCTTCCATACACCTCCTATCTGAGGCTCTCCACAGAAATCCTGATGAGTTTTCTGCAGATACTCTTGCCCTTCTCTCCTCCATTTTAGCCTGCATATTGTCTTTGGCTGGCATTACATATGTGGTTTCTTTGTTGTTGGGACCTTATAGGTTGTGATGCCATTTTGGCTCAGGTCTGTTTACCCTTGTCATATCTCAGGAATTTATGTATGGCCCCATTTCTGAGATGTTACATCTTTGATATGGTCCTAGAAAGTATTGAGCCTTGGGTGACATTGATCCACCAACAATCCAGTCTTACGACTATAGTAGCCTGTTTGTCTCAGTTAGAGTCTCATATGCTAATTCCCATTTCATGTCCTTCCCAGCCCTTATCCATTCCTTCTACTCTGGGTACTTCTTCTCGTCGCATTCCTCAATGTTGCACCCCATGTTGCCAACAGTGCCAGTGACTACCCAATGGGTTCGGGTCTGGTGGGTGTTCGGCTGTGCAAGTTTCTTAACCACTGGTGTCCCTTCGTTGATGATCAATAGGTGCTTCACGTTGTGTTAGAAGGATTTGTTTTACAGTTTCTTTACCCACCTCTGGTTTCTCCTTTTCCTATTTCCTTCCCTCCTCCTCAAAATCCCATGACCAACCAGTGTCTGTTAGAAATGGTTCAGGAATTGCTCTTGCAGCAGGCAATCGAACCTGTTCCCCATCCTTCCAGGGTTTTTTATTTCTACTTTTTTGTTGTCCCCAAGAAATCTAGGAATTGGAGACTGGTAATTAATTTATTTCACCTCAACTGCTTCGTATCACAACCCCAGTTCATCATGGAGTCTTTTCTTATCGTAAAGTGGATATTTTCTCCAAGGTTGTAGATGACAAAAATGGATATTTTCAATGCTTACTAACATATACTGATATCACCTAAGTCTCCTCCTTATCTTCAGTTTGTCCATCTTGGGGTGGTTTACCAATTTTGGGCCCTCCCCTTCAGACTTGCCTTGGCACTTTATGTGTTTTATCAAATAGTCCAGGCTCTTGCTCGCAATCTCCTTGCTCTGGGGTTGCAGTTTCATTATTACATGGATGACTGGCTTCTTGTGTTTCATTCCGATCAGAAATTGGCCAATCATACTTGGCAGCTACTTTCTGTGGTGGCTTGGGTGGGCTGGTTGATCAAATTGGAGGAGGCCTTCCTCAGACCTACTCAATATCTTATCCATTTGGGGGTGTTTTTGACACAAATATCAGTTGAGCATTACCTTGTCTTTCACAACTTCATTCAATCTAACTTTTGGTTCACCATGCCCTCTCGGCTCAGTCACTTACTGCTCACAAGGTTCTTTTGGGGGTGTGATCTTTCATGATAGCATTGGTCTCTCTCAGTCATACCCATATGAGATCCTTTCAATGAGTGCTTCACAAACGTTGGAACTTTGCTCAGGATCCTCTTTCCACCCCCATTTTCCTTACTCCTTCCCTATGAGACAATCTGCATCGGTGGCTGAACAAAGTCCATACATCGTTGGGTGTGCCACTTCCTCCTTCACGTCCAGATCTACATCTTTTCACAGATGCATCCCGTCAGGGATGGGGCCATTGGTCAATCATCAAGAAGTTTTGTGCCATTGGTCTGTGGATCAATTTTGGTTTCCAAGGTTACAATAAATGCTCCTCTCTCCCCTGTCCCTCTTCCACTTTCTCCCTCCCTTCTTTGTCAACCTCGATCACTTATCCTACATCCAAACCTTCACGTCCTGCATTTTCACGCCTGGTCTTTGGCGAGACAATCTGGTTTCACATTTTGAGTCGCTTCCTTGTTTGCTAGTTCCATCTGTCCATCTTCCATGGAGGTGTACCAATACAAATGGAAGGTATTCTGCAGTTGTTCTACTACCAGGAGGTTCCCACTGACAAGCCTACCTTGGCTTGTGTGGTTGGAATTTCTCACCTGGCTTTTCCACCATGGGTCTTTGGTCTCCCTTCTTTCCAGATATTGGGCAGCTATATCCCATACCTTTCATTCTTCCTGATACTATAGGGTTTATACTTCCCCTATTCTTACCATGCTTATGTGTTCCTTCCAGATATGTTGCCCTCCCAGGCATCCTGCCATTCCAGATTGGGACATCAATATGATCCTACATTCCTTTACTTTACTGCTGTTTGAACCACTTTCCTCGTGTTCCATGTTTCATCTTTCCCTTAAAACATATTTCCTTCTTCTCTTTGCCTGTGGATGTCAAAGGTCAGATTTGTTTGCCATTGACATTTCACGTGATCTTTCACCTTCTACCCTTACCAGTTGGGTCCACCTTTTGGTTTGATTGGCCTATTCTTCCCTACCTTCTTCCTCCTGGACTTTGTTCCAAGTTTCCTCCCATCAGATCCGACACCTCACTTTTCCCCTTGCTTCTCATCTTCATCGTCCAATGAAGGAGATTCTGCAATCCAGCATGTGGACAACTCCCAGTATGTTCATCTCCCACTGTCTCCATCATATCGCAGTTTCCTTTTCGTTGGAGTTTAGTTTACCACCTGTGGCCATACTTCAGATTTCAGTGCGACTCTAACTGGTAAGTTTTTATTAATAATTTTTTTAATTCAGGGGCCTTTATCTATTTTTTATCACATGGATCCTGCTCAGTGGCATGTGGTGCTTGACCAGGTATACTTTTACTCTAAATCTGCACTGTATAGCCATGTTGTCTCACGCTTTATATTACGTGGCTTCGCACGCTAACCATGGAGATGGGGTATTCTACAAGATCGCTTGACGGTGAATAACCTCACAATATTTTGCATCATAAACATGCCCGTCCCGAATTGTACCACCCATAGACTGCATGGGTAAAGCAAAAGGCAATTGCTGCCCATCTCTGTATGGTTTGCTTTTCAAAATAAGGTTTCATGCTCACCCACTGCACTGTCTCAGGTGATGACATTCCTATGAACTCCACTGCATTGTCACCCTCCTTTCTTTGAGTGGAGTATGGGAGTCCTTGCTACTGTCCAGTTACAAGCCACTGGGGTGGTTGACTATGGAGGCACCCTGCTGAATGAGTTTCACACAATAACCATTCAGTTGCAGAGTAGGACGATGATGTTCTGTGGGTGTAGATGACATAATATCCTCCTATTTGCGGTAATAAATACAACAGAGTGAGATGTCAGAATGCAGTTCACCCTTTCAATTGGGAGCCCACATCCTACCCTCGCATGGATGTTGGTACCCTGCAAGGAAATTTTGAATTAAAGTGAACCAATCAGCATAATTCCTCACACAAGTTTGGGTTGTCTAATTTCCTCTGTCTGTGTTGTGGGTCACAGCGGTGATACGTGGGATTGTTGCAGTTCTGTCCTTGACTATCCCTCGTCGTCTTCATTCAGGAATGTTACTGCCATTGGATGGTCCTGGTCTGTACTGCAATTAGGGGAGTTGATTCCATGTGATAGACATCCTATCGATACTGGATGTCAATTTACTGGATCTGTAGCTCATGTCATACTCTTGTGGGATTAAGTTACAATATCTTTCTCTGGTTAGGATCACTTTCCTACCACATGTCTGAAATATAATGGGGAAAGTGTAAGGTGATAGCTTAATGCTTAAAACTTGTGATTTCACTGCTAACTGATCCATTTATTTATGTTAATGAAATTTACATTTATGTGTTTTTTTCATGTTTCAGCTTGATAGTAAAAGTTTTAGCTTTAATGGTGTTTCTTTTGTTTCTGTATTTCACAGGATTAGAGTACATAGTAGAGGTGTGGCAAAAGCAGTTGGAAAAGTTTCAACATTTTGAATGTATGATTTGCTACAAAACATTTGATGAAAAGAATATTATCCAGCATTTAACTGAAACTAACCACAAAATTTTGTACCTGGTAAGTTCAAACAGATTTTCTTTCTGCGTGTAGTTGGTAACTGTTTTGTTTTAGAAGTGATTTTAAAAGAGACGTAAGGACAAAATACACTTGATTTGTAATTTTTACAATTTTCGTAAGTTAAGAAACACTACATTATGCACATATGGTGGTGAAGATCATGTATTGAGCAAGAATTTTACCTCTTTTAAGGACTAGGTATTTAACCAGCTGTTCCAAGTTTTTGTATACATACATGGCAGCGAGACTTCAGTGGTGTAACAATGATAAAATGTATTTATGTTTTTAAAAGTTGCTTCTCTTTGAGAACCAATAGTATAAGCAGTTTTATTGCAATTTTTTGTATGGTAGTTGACTGAAATATTTCCATTTTATAATTTAGTATGTTTTATATTGTAAATTCTACATTAGTTTTCAGGCTACAGGCATGGTCAATTCAGCCAAGTTAGTGATCCCCAAATTGATCTTTAGATACTTTTAATACATTATATTCTGCACAAAATTTCACAAGCTTTTGGTAAACAATTTTCATTGATAAAAAAAATCAGAACTTTTAGTGAAATATTTTTACTAAACATTTCTCTGTGAATATATGGAGTCAATATATGTTGGTTGCTCTGAGTGCAAAGTGATTTTCATGTTAAGATTAAAAATGCTTTTCTTCATCTGAAAATTGTCAAATTTCATTAGCATAATCTCTAAAACCTAAATAAATTTCAAACGTTTTTTTTTCAATAAAATTTTATATTTTATCTGTTATTTTCTCTACCCTAACTCTAAATGTATTTGGTTAATTTGACCAACTTCATAACCACCATAAAAAATACAAAATAAGTTTAAAATTACCCGTTTCTTTCTATATTGACTGCAACAGAAAACTACTGTTGTTTATTCTAAATAGCTTAAAGCTCCTAACAGTATACATCTGTTTCTACTTAAATGTTATTGTTTTATTGCCCTATGAATTGTGTCCAACTAATAATCCTGCCACACTTGGTGAACATGTAGCTCACATTACCATATCAAATTACATAATACATAAGCTACTTGAGAGCATACCTCGTGAAGAATTTTTGTTATTATTCTTTCTTTATCTTACCTAGTCTAACCGTACAAATTCCTAATATTTACTTTATATTTACTTTTATAATAATAACTAAAGAATACATATGAAAAACAAGAAATATGGTACCTACCCGGGTCTTTTTTGTTGCTGTTGTCAACTGTCAATAAAACTGAAGCATACTTTTTTATATTGATGTACTACTACATTAAATAATTTTTAATTTATAATGCACCTAGGAATACAGAATAACATGGGCTTGGTTAATTTGACCAACCACATGACCTCTTTGTACTTGAGTAAAGTCTTTATAGATTTAATACTTTTAACTTTCAATATAGTGTGCATATCTTCACAAAATTTGACAGTCTTTCAGTTAATATTATAAATCTTTCACATACAAAAAATCATATTTTTAGTGAAGCATTTTTAATAAAATAAAATAAAGATTTGTCCATTAATATATTGAGTATTTGTTTTGAATAGTCGTGTGAAAAGTAATTTTCATGTTAGAATTAAAAATACTTTTTCTTATTTCAAAAATTTCAAATTTCTTTATCTACCCTAGCTTAAAATGGGATCGGTCAATTCGACAGACCTCGTAACCACCAAAAAATAATTGAAATAAATCTAATATACCCATTTTTTTTTTCTAGAATGACTTCAAATTGTAACATGAAACTACATTTGTTTATCCTAAGTAGCTCTAAGTTTTTAACAGTATACATCTATTTATAATTAAATTTTATTGTTTTATTGCCCTTTGAACCATGTCTAACTACTATCCATGTCATTATAGCTTCTAAATCACTTGGGGGAACATGCAGCTCATGTTACGCGATCGAATTACATTACCCACGAGCTGCTCATGCATGCCTGATGAACCATTTTATGTATTATTATTACTTATTTTACCTAATCTAGTCTTTAATAACTTAAAAAGATCTGTATTTTTAGATTTTAGTTACTTTTAAATAAAGAATAAATATGAAAGTACTTACCCAAT